TAACCCTTCAAGGAAAAGCAAGACTTGGGTTGCGTAATCTGACATATCTGGTTAATTTGAAGAGCTTAATCTAACATTTGGGGTGAAGTTGAGTGAAATTAGAAACATCATTGAGCAGACAAATTGAGTCGGATAGTGTTCTTGGTTTAGTATTAATGTGAGACTTACAAGAATGAAATCCAGTTCTGATGATGTCCATCATATGATGGACGAAAACTCAGCACGTTTTCACCCGAAGCGAAGGAGGAATACTCGTGGACTGCGTCAACATGAATATAATATAAAAGCAGAACGGCTGCAGTACAACGATTTTTATCCGTCCTCATCTGGTGAGAACGACAAACGAATCTCTTCTTCATGTACTTTCATTCGAAATGAAGGTCCCCCTAACAATGGGATAAACTAGAAAAGAGTGTATTGGCTTTAGATTGGCCAGTCATCTCGCAAAACATGTAATGCTGAACAAGGGCGACCTGTCGAGGTGGAGGAGACACCAAATGATAACCGCGGCATGTTGGTACTCTGAAAGATGGCGAAATTTCAGAAAGTCTATTTTCCAACAATGCTGACGCTTTTGGTGCCATGGTGACTGGCAGAATTCTCTCAACCTGGATCAGCGTTGCCAGTTGCTCTCATCGGCTGGCATCGGCTGAACAACGGTCGAGGAGGAAAAACTTTGCGCGCAGCATCGAGTTGTACCATGTCGAGTAAGCCGATTCTGCGCATGCAGCCAATCGGGCTGTCTACAGAGGAAGAGAACAACAACATGGCGGATCTGGCAGGCTGCGTCTCCAGCTCTTTCTCTTCCTTTTCACTCTCTCCACTCCCTCGCTCGGCCGGCGTGCTCACGGCAGCCCACCTGTACACGACAAACTCATTAAAAATGCACAGAGTTGCTAGGCGACCTTGATCTTAGTCTCCGTTGCAACTTTCCACAATTTGTCACCAATCGGCCCAGAGGGACCCAACTTCCTCCGGATCATCTTAACACTTTTTCGGATTCCTCTTGCTATCTGCAATGGGTGAATGCGAATAGCTATTATTTCAGTCTGCCGGTCTCGGCAACCGAAGTCCAGGAAACATGTTGTCCTTAAAGACTGTCTAATCTGCGTCAAGTTACCATAGTTACTTGAATATGGCGGACCATATTCCGGCATATGAAAGGGGCTCATCTTGTCATTGCTACTGTTGGGTTTTAAAGACTCAGATAAACCGGTACAGACATTGGCAGAATGAGGTCATAAAAACCACTCAGATGTCAAAGTGAATTCACTTATTTCTCCTCTCTTCGATGCCAACCTATAGCCTTGCCATGGCAACTGAATGTCATATGGCAGTTC